TGAGCCAGTGAGATTTGAACAGCTGAACTGCAGATCTGCAGTCAGCTGAAGTAGCCTGCAGTGCTGCATTTAACCACTGCGCCACCTCGGCAAAATGAGGAACCAGATTGTTGGGGGCAATGTGCTGACTTTGTAAGCCACTTAGAGAGGGCTGGAAAGCACTATGAGCGGTATATAAGTCTTAAGTGCTATTGTTATATTTACCTGCACAGAGCCAACATAGAACCACAAAGGTCAAAGGAAACTGGAGGAGAATAACTCTATAGCATGCTTTTCTTGGGCTCCCAACTTGCCATTAGAAAGAAAGGAGTAGCTATACTGCTGGGTAGGTCTTCAGTATATCCTCCAGAGTCACTCAACACCAAAAAGAAAATTTGGGGAAAATCTACTCCCAATCCAAAGCTTAACCCACACAGCAGGACTTGGGAAAACTGGTGATAAAACTGGGCTTCCATGTCTTTCCAGCTACTCCCAATGCATCAGTTTGAATTGTATCCCACCTTTGTTCAGAAACTTTGGGCAGCCAGGAATAGCTTGCACTGGACATCCTACTGAGGCTGCTAATTCCTAATATCTGTAAGAATTATTTCAGATTTGAACCAGCCCCATAGGCGGAAAATCAAGTGGATTCTGAACTCTTATAGCAATTGTTTCTTTAAAAGTTCTCAAGGGGGTGGCAATGGAGGATCTGGCTATGAGGCTCATTTACCAATGAGAGCGAGAAATATAGTTTATGGGAGGAATATAGTTTACACATTTGGATAGTCCTTTCTCGATTCTAGAGAGAAAGGCAGCTGCAATGGGAAAGGCAAAGGGTTCCTTCACTGTCTCCTTCCACCATAGGCAGCATCACCGTCTCCAAGCAGCAGGGAACCTGCCACTTTGCTTTCAGTGGTGAAGGACGCAGAAATTTCATTTCCTCCACGCCGCAGAATGCCCTGCCTGCCTACACAGATAGAGGATGAGCCCGCCAGCCCCTTGCTCCCCAGGTCCTCAGGGGCCCACAGCCACCTGCCCTCACGGTCAGGAATGCCACGCCACGTGGCCTCCGAAACATCCTCACGCCCCACAGCATTGCGGCTGCACAGCGTGCCCTGCAGCGGTCCCCCAGATCTGAGCCCCAGGTAAGGTCACAGGATGGAAAGGAGGTGCAGGCCAGCTTTGGGAATGGGAGGGGGGGACACAACGACAAGGCCCCATCGAAAAGCCTTTCCCCATGTAGGAAGTCAGAGATTACTGTTGAAGCACAGCATGTCAATGAAGACTCAATCATCCAGGCCCAAAGTATCTTTTAAAGGTTAAAATCATGGCAAGGGGACCAAAGTTTGTTAACCTGGGACGTTTTGTTACTAATCCAAGTAACTTCTTCATTTGCTGTGGCAAGAGTAGGTATATTCCAATGACTCTCTGCCTAACTATACTTTTTATTTTGACTGAAGAAGTTACTTGGATGAATAATGAAGCATCTCAGATTAACAAACTTTGGTCCAGTTGCCATGACTTTATAATCTTTTTTAGATGTTGAAGCACAGGGATGCAAGTCTCTCCACGGGCCTCTTTTCTGAAATGCTTATTTTTCTACCTCTTCTTCTCCAAAAGAGTTGTAGATGGAATTGAGGATGGGTCCAATTCAGACAAACCTATGTTCAATTTCCGCCTTGGCCCATCAGGACCAGATTACAGCAGCCCTTCACCTGGTACAGGTAACATTCTGCCTCCTGCGGGGAAGGGGTCACAAAGAGGTGGATATGAAACAAGAGCACTTGGGAGGCTGAATTTGTGGCCTTCATCAGCTTGGTCCCTTTTTCCTCTTCCAGATAGCGGTCTGCTCACTATCCCTCCCGAGTTATCTGGTGCGGACACCATTGAGAAACTGCGCCAAGCGGTAAGGCTTTTCTTAACTCGATCAGTTTGTACCTTTGATAGCATTACTTTATCACGCTTGACATCTAGTAAGTTAAGGTCATGTGTCTGCCAGTGGTGGGATTCAATTTTTTTTACTATCGGTTCTATGGGCGTGGCTTGGCTTGGTGGGCGTGGCAGGGGAAGGTTACTGCAAAATCCCCATTTCCTCCTGATCAGCTGGGACTTGGGAGGTAGAGAATAGATGGGGGCAGGGCCAGTCAGAGGTTACCGGTTCTCCAAACTACTCAAAATTCCCACTACCGGTTCTCCAGAACTGGTCAGAACCTGTTGAATACCACCTCTGGTGTCTGCCTGCCATGAGCAGCCTGCTTAAAAATAACAGGCTTGTACAGAGACAGCCTTGTGGACTTCCAACTTCCAGAATTCCCCAACCAGCAATGCTGGCTGGGGAATTCTGGGAGTTGAAGTCCACAGGTCTTAAAAGTTGCCAAGGTTGGACAGCCCTGCTTTAGAGAGATTTACCTGGAGCTTCCTTGCTTTTTGTTCAGCAGGGAAGTAGACTGCGTATGTGCAGGCTACCCTTGGAAATCTAAAACACTAGTCTAGAAAATATTATCTACAGAGAATGGTGGATTTAAATGATCTTCTGAAAACACAAACTCATGTTTTACCTTTTGAGTACCAAAGGAAAAGTACTAGGCTCTTCGGAGGCAATTGACCAAGTAGTCTTACTTATATAATTTCTCTTGTACCTTTTTCACATAGTCCAGATAGCTTAAATTATCCTCTTTTAAAACCTAAAACCAGATATTTAAATGTAACAAGCATCCCAAACCCTCTCCTCAAGACTGATAAAATGGCTTGTTTGCTATTTTCCTAATTTTCATTTATACTTGAAAAATTAGTGGCAACGAATGCACCTCTGCCACATGCTGGTAGAGAGGGCCTTGCCTTCTGGGTAGTCTTCAAAGACAGCTCCCAGCTGGGCACAAGCGTCCCTGCTGCTGATCCGAGCAGAAAGCCATGTCTCAGGAGCCACAAGGTACAGATCTGTCCCAAAGGTGCTTTTTCAAAAGGCCATTGGGCTTCCTTTGTTTTCCCCTGAAGATGTTTCGCTCCTCATCCACAAAGCTTCTTCGGTTCTGAACTGAAGAGGAAAAATTGAAGAGGAAAAATATCTTCAAGGAAAAACAGAGAGTTGGAGGGGGGGTAAGCACCTCTGGGACAACCATGACCTGGATGACTGATAAACTCCAGAGACAATTGCAGATTTGCTTTCCATCCCAAGTCAGATTAAGGGTAACCACCAAACCTCATGACTTCTGAACAAAAAGCAATGGTCCCGCTCGGAATTTCTTTTGAATTGTTTAATTCCCACCCACCTACATCTAGGAGGGTGGTAAAGGGGTGTATAATTGTTATGACGATACCTTAATCTAAACCAACCTGCAGTTTCATGTAGGTGTCAAAATGATTTGGGAGAGGACAGAGTATTACATCACACAGAATGCCTATGAACTCAATTGCTTCCCCACCACCACCACCACCAATTATCAGACTGGAACCCCAGGATCAAGGCCAGAGTCATTCCCATTCCCAACCCCTGCACATTCCAGCTTGGTTCCAATAAAAGCATCCTCAACCAAAACCATCCAGGGCAGTTTCAGTCCCCTTAGACGTTCGACTGATGCTTTCAGCCAGCATTCTTTGCAGAAGCAGCAGCCCTACCATCTTCTCCAATACTTTCCCCAATTAGGGAAACCTCGATAGGACTCTCGTCTGAGTGAACAAATTTTTCTTTTCTCTTCTCCCTATCACTGTTGAAGAGTGTGTTTCATGCTATCAATATTCTGGGTGGGGAAAAAAATTCTCCCCCCCCCCTCCAAAAGTCCAAGATCAAACCATTCAATGGCCAAAAACGGGGGTGAGGAAAAAGTATACAAATCCCTCCTTTTCTTCCCAACTGGTCCTGTTATGTTTCCAGAGGCTGGCTGGTCTACTGCCAAAACTATTAAATTACATCACTTCCTAGGAAAGATTTTATGCACTGCAGTAGTTACGAAGCGATTTTTGTAAGCAGGGAGGGTTCCCGTCTAAGAAGAAAGGCAAGAAAATGACCTCATTTCCCTTGCATCATTTCCCAGGTGGCTGAGCTCTCCGGGCAAGTTCAGCAAATGCGGGAAGGCCTGTACTCTCTGCGCCAGGCTGTCCAGCTCTTCCTTCTCTCCCAGACATCGGCCCAACAGCGAGTTGATCCTTCAGCCTGTGGGTCTTTCCCCCATCCAGATGCTCCGGCGACGCCCCTGCTGAGCCCCCTCCGGGTGGACACGGGACTCTCACCAGCTTTCTGCTCCCATAGTGCACCGCCAGCCCCATGCCCTAATGGAGCCTGTGGCAAAGTTCAGTGGATGTGGACCCCTCCAGCTGGGCAGAACTCACCCTGGCCTGGCACGTTTTGGACCCTGGGATGCCAAGCAAGGGATTCGGAGGCAGGAGTGCTTTCGCCCACTGGTATTGGTCCCAAGGACCCAGGGAACAACACGCCGATGCCAAATCTGAGCCAAAGAGAGAGCTCTCTGCCCCAAGCTTGTTCCACTACAGATCCAGCGTACCACAGGAGCTCTCCCGAAACCAAACCTTCTAGGACTCAAGACTGTGATTCCTCTGGCCTTGAGATGGTGCTGATTGGTGCTGGGGATGATGGCTCTACCTGCAGTGGGCCCTGCTGGATAGAGGAAGAAGGGACGGGGATATGAGTGTGCTAAGCACAACTGATTACACAAAGATCAGGCACTGGCATTTTTTCCGTCCTGGGAATATCAAGGATTAGCCCTTGTCTTATGGGACCAGATGCTCTCCCACGTGAGGGGACAAAGAAAGGTTACAATCAGCTCTTCCAAGGTTGAGCGAGAATTGCAATTGTCGTCACGATGGAGACAGAAGAGAAAGACAGCAAACACCACAAAACACCCCGGAACAGCAAAGCTCCTTTTGTCTCGGCAAAAGCAGAAAACTGCAAGCTGCTGTAAGAGTTTCTACTGTCAAAAGCCAAAACCTGGGCTATCCGAGTGGTTATATGGGGCTAGGGAATACATCCATGTGTCACAGCTTGAAATATGCAAACGTAACCCATATTTGATTCAATTTTAGATACTCTTCCTTCAGGCAGCTGGATTGTTAGGCATTGCTGTGGGGATAGTGAGTGGACTTGGAGTGGAAACTCCCTCTGAGCATGTAATTTTTAGAATGGGAAGGCAGGTCCAAGACTTTGCTCAGCCCTGTGTAAGAGTGATGCTGGGCACCCTTTTTATAAAATAAAAAGTATGTTTTGAACTCGGATTGTTTAATTTACGAACTGCTGTTGCTCGGATGTTGTCCTTGTGAGGCTCGTGAGCGACCTTTCCCATGCTAAATCACGGTATGTAGAACCACTATCAACAGTTAAACAAAAATCACAAACTTCAGGTGTTAAATATATGGAAAAGGGAGATTCTACCATAAACTTCCCTGCCAATTCAATGAAGGCCACTAGCCAGTCAGCACTGTTGCACCAGGAATTTTAATGGACACAAAAGTTAAGATTTATATTATAAAAAGCTAGCAATGCAGAGGCTGCATTTTAAATAATCAGGTTTACTTCCATTTTTGCCGCTGCTTTTAAAACCCCAAACAATCAAACTACGACTGACAACACTCTGGTAAGCTTATTCTACCATACAGATACATAAGAGGCAAGGGATGTGCTTGCACTTAGGAGGCAAGTGCCAAAAGCTAAAATAGCTCATTAGTCTGTCAACACCCCTGTTAAGTAGTAATATTGAACCACATGAGCAGATAGGAACAGATGGGCCTCTATTTTTACAACCCACCTCCTATGGAATAAATCATTCTTTTTTTCATACCCAAGGAAGGGAGATTCTAGTGGAGGATGCCTGCAAAACTGACATCTAGAAATGGCACCAACACAATGCAGAACGAGAGGACCAATAACTCTTATGTCAGCTTGACCTTGGCTCTGCCCACATCCAGTCCTGAGACATTTCGTCATTCCACCCCAAAGAGAGTGAAGCACAAGAGTCGGTAGAAGCAGTAAGCCATTTCTCACCCAACCCAGAATACTCAGCAGAGAGCTTCTGTTAGCCAAAAGGCTGTGTTTAAGCCCCAGTCTCTCTATCCCCACCCACCCCTTCTCTCTCCAGTGGGCTCTGTGTGTGTGTGTGTGCAAGCACAAAACAGAGTTCCTCTATGCTTAAAAAAAAAGACCCGGGATTGCTTTGTGTCCTAACCTCCAAGGAGGCAAAGTGGAGGAAGCTGCATCAAAAGCAGCAAAGAAAACAGCAGTCCCTGCTGGCGAAAGGAGGGGCGGTGGTGGAGGGGGCGTCCTTTGGTTTGATCCAAGCCTTAGGGCTGGGCAATTTTGGCAGCTTCTGCCTTGATAAGAGCAATCAGATCTTGGTTGATGAGGAAAACAAAGCGCAAGCTGGCAATCTGGAAAAAGAGGGAGGGAGAGAGAAGAGAACTAAATCAATTTGTTCCTATATATTCTGCTTTCGCACCCAATTAAGTCATGAGCCACCTTGAGGAAGTTTTTCTAGAGATCTGCAATGGCAGCTAACTAGAAGGGCTAAAGTGTCTTCCTTCCTGGCCAGGCTCTTATTATAAGACAGCCCTCCATTTAAGGCAGCTTCCCCATCTGAGAGCTGCAGTCTCAACCCCTCTGAAGGTGCCACAAAAGCTGACAGCATCTGGGCTCAATTGAGTCCAGGCAGATAGGCTGTAACCATGGGGTAGACCCACTGGTAATTTGCCCTGGCTATTATTACTAAATTTACAGCCCATATTTCTATCCTGGCCACTTCAAGTAATTCTAAGCAGTTCAATGTTTAAAAAATACACAGGTAAAGCAGAACAGTAGCCATTTAAAGTTCTCAATCCTTTAGTCTAGTTAAGTCCAGAAAACCAAATTAAAAAATAATGCAAGAATAAAAATGATAGATTCAGCATCCATTAGTAAGAAATTCTATTCAATTTAAATCTGAGCCCTAAATTCCCAGCCTACCCATCCTCTAAAAAGAAAACACGACCAGAACAGGAATATGAGGCAATATCTAGAGTCAAACTCTTTCTGCTACAAAGCACAGCCGGCCCCTGCTCACCTCAACCACGGAGTTATTGCTGAGTTTCCACTTGCTGCCACAAAGCACTGGCCGTCCATCAACGTAAATAGGCCGTCGGCCTTCGTTGGCCAAGAAAAAGTCCCCGTTGTTCTTCAGCTTGATGACACCTATGTGCATTTAGGAAGAGATTACAGTGACTTGGACTTTCCCAGGGGGAAGAGAACGAAGCCTCAATGGAATACCACTGGGTCCTAAGCCACATGAATTTAAGCCACAGCCACCAGGCCAGTCACTACCTTTAAAGGTTGACCTTTCTTGAGAAATGGTTCTCTTTTAAAGTTAAAGAGCCGATCTCCCACCCAGAGAAGGTTCTCCAACTCTGCAGCCGGAAGAAAGGCCACCGAATATGGGTAGTCCCCCACTTACAAAGTTATGACACACACCCCTTCCCCAAAAGCTACTTACGACCCGATTTCACAGTTACGACAGATGCACACCCACCCACCCACAGTCATGTGATTGCATTTTGGGCTCTTGGCGATCGGCTCACCTTCCTGGCCTTTTTGTAGCATCCCAGGGTCATGTGACTGCAGTTTTTGATGCCGTTGCCAGTTTGCAACGTTTTACTTCCAGTTTCTGACAAAAAATGCCCATTGGATAAAATGGATTTGCTTAGTTACAGTGTTCACTTAATGACGAGGGCAGTGATGGCGAACCTTTTAGGCACAGAGTGCCCAAACCAGAAGGCACCAGAGCACGGGAAACCCGACGACCAGCTGGCTGAGCTGGGGCAACGGCGCACGTGCCCAAAGAGAGCGCTCTGGCATGCGTGCAATAGTTCGCCATCACGGGACTAGAGTATTCATTTAACAAACCCCCCCCCCCCCCAAAATCTACTCAAGGCATGCCTCAACTTACAACAGCAATTAGTTGTAAATCGAGGACAACTTACATCGGCTCAATTAGTTGTAAATTGAGGACTACCTGAATGTAGTATTTACATGCTGATAGTAAATATGAGAAAACCCATAGAGCTGGCTAGGGCCCTTAGCATTTCAGCAAATACCCCGAAGATTTCATTGGGTCATCAGGATGGCAAACATCATCTTACTTTTGCCTTACTTTCACATTTTAAAGACAGTGGTTTCTCCTAGCAAAAAAAGAAAATTGCTCCGGCATCTCGTACTGTGAAGTCAGTGAATCAGGAACCACAAAGTAATCCTCATAGTAATGCTTTCTTAACCATGGCTGTACACGTCTAGCCCAACAAAACATCTTTTTTTCTCAGCAATTCAGAGCCAAGAATCACTTCCGATACCTTGTTTGCGGGAGATTTTCCAAGCAGGGCCTTCCAGTGCCAGATCTACATCAATCTGGTTGTCTTTGGTGGCTCTGCCAAGGGTTATCTAGAAATTAGAGAAAGAATTCACTTTGCGTATCAAAGCAGTCGGGGTTTTGCCAGCTTCGGCAATCAAACTGAATCAGGTGAACTGACCCAGTGCATTGTTTTTGATTTTGCAAATGCCGACTTTTCAGAAAGACCACATGAGGGCATGGAGACGAGCAAAGGTAAGTGAAAAAAAGAAGCGAAGTTCACCACTGGATTGAAAATTACACTCTCTCAGATTCTCAAGTTGTCACTTTGTCACAAAGTAAATCACATAGATACTAATGGTATGTAACAGTAAAGGTAATGGAAATCAGAAACCAATGTTTATTCTCCACTTCAGTGCCAGTACAGTGTTCACTTCCACTGTCTGGAGAGAGAATAAAAAAAATACCAGCATCTCTTGAATTAAAACTGTTCTTCTATCAAAACATTCTCATTGAAATAGCCCAGTCTTCAATCTTTCAGAACACACAAATATGCCATGTAGCTCAAAATCAAATGCAGCTTGATTGTGGCGCTTGATTTGCATTGTTGAAAAATGATTCAATTTCTTCGCCATGATCCAAGCTGGCAATAAGGAGTCCACCTCCTTAGTTTTGGGCCCAGATAAATGAAAAACAGAACTCACCTCCCGGGAGCGCATGAGGTAGCGCACCATCCGTCCACGCAGCACAGCCAAGGTCTGGTTATCAAAATCAGGGGAGCTCATCCCTAGGAGGGGAGAGAAAAAACACAGACTGGCATAGTCTTGGAAAATGGAGCTGACCAATAGCGAGCTGAAGCAAAGTGCCTGGGGTGTTATTTATATAAGCGGTCCCGAACTTTTGCGGCTCCGCGGACTGGCAGTGGGGGGTAAGAGGGGATGATTTTGCGTGCGCAACCTAATCCCCTGCATGTGCAAATGGAGCATTACTGTTCTGACCCAGCTCCCCAAACACGACAAACCCTCTAAAGTTACTCAAAGATTCCTTTAATTAGGAGTGCTGGCAAAAAGTTTCTCTCTCTCCGCAGGCTAACAAATTCAGTTGGCCGGAAGATAAATAGTTGTCTGGCACATCTATTCATCTCCCTCCGCCCTGCCTTTTATCCCCAGAGCTAGGGTGAGGCTTCGTTAGCAGCGGTGGCTCTTCCTTCCCAAGGATCAGCCCACATATTTCCACTGCTCTCCTCTCCTTTGCCTTCTGCGCATCAGGCACTGGACCCAGCTGTTCCTCCTCTTCCTCATCAGTCACCTGCTCACCTGGGGTTG